CGTGTTCAGGAAACCCCGCTTGGCCGCTTGGGGTGTCTGTTTGCCTTCAAACAGGTGGTTCGCACCGCAAAAGCGATGTCCCGTTGCTCAACCTGACGTCCAGCAATCCAACAGGCCTTCTCAGATGCGGGTCGGTTTGCCTTTCAACGAGTTCCCTGCATGGGAGGGGGGCAATATTTCTGGCCCCAGGATCCCCATGACCAGAAACTTTATCATTCAGAAAAGCGTTTCTTGTGTGGTGTTCCCTCAGTGGACATCCTGTGCAAAGAACCTTATGATCATTTTGGTTCACGTTACCTCTTGGGTTGGGCGTGTATGTCAGCTAGGTCAGCTTCTTCTTTAGACCTGCTCACTGGTGAAATGATGATTGCGGAACCCTCTTTGCCTATTGAAGGACCACGCAAGGCAACTCCTTGTTTCCTCCTTGTTTCTTACTGGAGGCTATTTTGGAGGGCAAAGAACTGTCCAGCCATTCGAGGTCAGCTCGGAAATGCAGATGGGCTCCACTGGTTGAGTTTGGTCATCAAATCCAAAACGGGGTCCGGGTAGTGTGGCGATTTTGATCTAACAAAATCCGCAATGAAGAAACACAACCAACGAAGAGCACAAGAAAAGCCCAAACGAACTGGATGGTTGCCTGCAACTGGGACACTGGGTAGTCAACGGAAGACAAAGACACGCACCACACGCGTTTTCAGCTTCGAGGCGAAGGGCCTTATGACTCCCAATTTCGTGTTGGCTGGTTTGGGGGTTGGGATAGACGTGTCAATGAAAGAAAGGAGTCGTGGGGGTTTCCTGGTCTTTCGAATGCGGTTTGTACCCAAGGCCCTGATTCAGCCTGCAACCGGCCTGGGCGAACTTTCGCGGTAGCGGTTGCACTTGTTCCCTCTTTTGGATGGTTGTCATGCGGAAGGATCCTGTCACGTGTGTGATGCCATACCACCGGCATCGTCAAACGCAGGAAAATCGATTGCTATGGCAAACGACACATGCCTACACATCTGAAGTAGAACAGAAACTAAAAAGTGGGAACACTTTCTCATACAGGCTGAACAACCCAGTCCTTTTCACGTTTGACAGATTGAAAGACCGCATTTCCCGATTTTTATCGTGGTTTTCCAGCCAGGCGTTGGCTTCGATGCAACATTTCGGAGATCACCGTCCGGCCTGGAAGAGCCGGGTGCTCCCATCGTAGAGCTGACCCTTGAGGCGGTTCAGGGCGAAGAAGGGCGCGCAGGTGTCCTCATGGGCCCCAAACCATCTGAGTGCTTTTCAAGATGAGGTTCAGATCCCCTGGTGTGTAAAGGAACACCAAAGGAAACCAACTATTTCAGAGTTCTATTTTGAAAACTGCCCCCCCCCCCCGGCTATTTTTGCTGGAGGACATTGGAACCCCCTTGTTTTGGGAGTTTGTCTCCAAATGGGGGTGAACCGCAGCCTGCCTCAACAACACACCAACCCATGGGTTGTTTTTTTTGAGTTGGTCGCAAGGCGGATGGGTGCGACGGTGGGATAAATGGCTGGCCGTGGTTAAATCACCAATTTCAACTAGCCAATTGAGTCCCCCGCCTCCTTCAAAAGCAAATACCCTCTTCAGGGTTCTTGTTTGAAAGCCAAATGGGAAGCCCTGAAATTGGCGTGCCCATCTTGAGGGCCACTTTCCCTTTCAACGGGTCCCCCTGTTGGTTGAGTGGATCTTTACCCAGCCACCCACACATCTACAGATGTCCTCCTCAAAAGTTGCAACTTAGTGGCAGGTTCCCGTGACGCTGCGATTGGTGTAGGTAACAGGATGGAAAAGTGAGGGAACCCTATGTCTCTTGATTTGCTCATGTCGCAGCCTTCAAACATATGCTTAACAGCTTTTGTGGGGATGCCCAATTCTTGACTTCTCCCTCCAACAAGTCACAACTTTGTTGCTTCAGCAAGATAAAAAGGAGAACACCAAGGAGGACGAGCACTGACAAAGGAGCAAACACACCGCAGGGATTTGCCGGGCGAGCCATGGCCAGCCTCCTCGCCCCGCTGGCAGTGGAAGCAGGTGCCACAGGGCATGATGAAGGTGCAGGCCACCTTCCCCCCCAGCGGCAGCCGCTCAACGTCCACCTGCAACGTCCAACACCCCGAAACCCAACCCCACCCCCCCCCCCCCCCCCCCGACCGTTGGACCCCCGAACCCTATCCTTTCCCGCCCCCCGAACCAACCTTTTCCCCCCCCCCCTCACCCCAAAAAAATAACAATTTGCGCCTGCTGATGACCTCATGAGAATCTACAGAAGTTGGTGGCTGCCCTTGGTTCGGATCGAAGGCAAATCGATCGACATAAATCTCATCTAGAAGCCCTTCCCAGGGTTCATCCCATCGAATGTCAACGTTCCATCTGGACTTCCCCTTCCAGTTCGCCCAACTCACCATGAGGCCAAGTATTGCGCTTCCAGTATCTTCGAGTTTTTCGAGCAGTGGGCGCGCCTTTAACTCGGGGAGCCAGTTGCTCCTTTGCCCTTTAAACCAGTCTCAAAATGCGTATCCTCGCAACGAATCTTGGGACCTCACAATGACTTCTTGAGTCCAATGATGCTTAGGGATAGAGATTTAAGCTGCCAAAACGGCCTTTTAAAGGGGAAACCAGAAGGAAGCCGTCCATTCTGTGGGTCCCCTTAGTTTGACACTGACATACCCATGCATGTTTATACTGTATGATTTGCATGCCAACAAATGCTAGTATTGTTTGCAGTCGGCTTATTTTTAGTGGTCATGGCACGTGATGTGTCTGCACATTAGGTTTACATCTACAGAATCATGATCATCTAGCTACAGAAACAATAAATCTATCCAGTCGTTTCCTTCGCCTCATCGCCGTGGCCCACTACCGTGCCACTGATCTCGTGCCCGAAGACCGCCGGGGCGGGGAAGGGGATCTCCTAACGAGCCGGGGGGTTCGAGCTGCAGCGAAGCCCAAAGCAGAAAGGACCCCTTGAGGTCTGGTGATCCCATCCGGGTTTGGACCTCATGCGACAAAAGCTCTTGGGACCGGTCCCACGATTGTGAAACCATTTTGGTCGCAAATGAGAAATCCCGACCTGGAACGGGCCTTCCACATCACACCAAAGGAATCGTAGTTGCAGGGCGCCTCAAGGCTCGTTTTCCAAGGGAGGGGCCTCAAAATTGGGGCCACCTTTTTGGTATGCACTTGAAAAAGGCGCCTCAACTTTGAAAAACAGATTGCGGGTGAACAATCGAAAGGGTCCCCGTTGATGGCAAGTCCGCAGCCATATTTGCAACAACTGGTCAGTGGATGCCATTGGTCCCAAACCCCCCCCCCCACCAAAACAGACAAGGAGGAACGAAAACAGGGCGGCTTGCAGGTTTCCCTGGATCTCTTCGAAAGGGATTTCAAGGGCTGGAGTCCACGCAAATGGAATTCTCCAAAACGATTCCCCATGGAAACTGCAAGTGGAACTGAGACGTCAGGTCCTTCTTGATGCAGTGGAGATCAGTGTGGCATACTCCGCAGGCGCGAACCTTCACCAGGACCTCCCCTTTCTTCGGGGAAGGCTTTTCAATCATCTCCTGAGATGGGAGAAGGGAAAAGAGCAACGTAACCGAGCCATAGCCCCCCAGGGATATCTGTTTGAACCGAAACTAAGATCAGGCCTGAAGAACCCAACCCCCCCCCCAAAACAAAATTCTAACGGGCCGCAAACTCAGGCCTTTTGAGGAGGAAACCAAACGATTTGGGGTAGGGTTTGGGGGAGGGTTGGATCCTATGAGAGATGGGCAAAAGGAAAAGGAAGCAAGCTTCTCAGAGGTCTAACCACTACAACGCACAGGTCTATTGAGGTAATCCCAACCCAAAACAAATGAGCGGTTTCGGCAGCCGGATTGGCCGCCTTGGTATTGGGGTATCCTCCATGGTAGGATGTGTTTGCTTGACAAACGTCAAAGGGAAACTAGGAATTCTGACCCACCTGATGCCTGATGTAACTCAACATTAACTCAACATAAGGTTTCCCTGTCATCAGTCCCAACATCGAGGATAGAGGAATCTGAGGTGAGTCTGACTTCTTCATTCCAAGTCTAGCCTTTGGGGGAAAGCAAGACCACCAGCTTCCCCCTACAGTACTTGGTGGTTTGGATTGGAATGATTTGGAGGTGTGTGTTTGGAATTTCCCCTTTACCCAAGCATGGGGCTCGGGTGCCCACCAATCCAAGCGATCGTTCCTGCGAGAGCCAAATTCGGCCAGTTCATGCACCAAGTTGTGAAACTCCGCCAAACCAAACCTGAGAGAATGCTTGCTGCCAAGTATGCACGTGCTGAAAATAGAGACCCCCCCCCAGAAAACAAAAACATGGGGGCGTTCCTTGTCCTTTCCAATGAGCCCACAAAAGGTGCCCTCATAAAATGACGCGCCCGAAGGTTGGACAAAATCTGTCAGGTCTCCACCTTCATCTTCGCTGGATCGGGATCACCTCGCCAAAGCACCGCCCGCATCTGTGAGAAGCCCCGCGCGAAGCGCGAGGATCTTCTCATAGCCAACATCCCCCGCATCTTTGAAAATCGCTCCCCGCGCGATGCAACCGCGCGAAAGAATGATTGGGGCAGGACCCTGGCTCGAGCAAAGCTGCGACGCAAGAAGCCAGTTGGAGTGTGGCTCAAAATGAAGGACTCCTCCAAGCTGTCATTTTGTTCCCATCCCACAAGGGGACCTCTATTTTGAGAGAAATCATCCAATTGTCCCATGGACCCCCCCACACTTTGGACTCCTTCAACCGGCCGTGTACCAACAGGGGCCCCTAACTTTGACAACCCCCACAGGTGTCGGAGCTCGCGCGTCCTGCGGGTTGCACTCACTGAATCAAGGCTGGTCAAGGGCATCTGGCCGATGTTTTTTCGAAACTTAGCCCAAATGGTCCGAACTTGGTGAAGGTCACTTGCCCGTGCCAAAATGAGGATCAAGCTTTGACACCTTCCCGTTTGCAAGCGAAGGGAGCCGGCAGTCCAGCGAGTCTCCACAGAAGATTGTAGAGCGACACCTGAAGCCAGCAACCCGCTCCAAGCAAGAAATCCTCAACCGGAACCAGCCACGAACCTGTGCCACACCAGGGTTTGCCTTTTGGCTCCGCTTTGGGAAAGTAAAGGGGCTGAGGTCACTATTGACCTCCCTTTTCAGGAGCGAAAGTGGGTGTTGACCGTTTTACCCGCAAGAGGTTCTAAAGCCTCAGACAAGAAATGGATCCGCAAGTAAGAAAACTGCATCATGGGTGGAATCGCTTGTTCTACCCCCGATCCATCGCCAAAGGGATGTGCCAAAACAGGTTTGGACGCTAACATGGTGGGCCTAAACAGAGGTACTTGGTAGTTACTACCAATAAAAAAGTGCTGAGCCTCAAACCACAGCATCGCATCCTGGGCGCCCCACGGCATGTTGATTCCAAGCGCCAAGGTGCCAGTGGCAAAGACCACCCGGAGGTACCTATGATTCGCGTTTTCGGCATGAGAGCACCTAAAAAGTCCCCAAGCAGAGGCCGTGTTGGGTCTATATAGCAAACCCTCGACTTGAAAAACGAGATCCCAAAAAACACACATGCCACCCTTGGTTTTCAGTTTGAAACAACCCTCCCAAGGAGGCACACCGCGTAAAGGTCTAGCTTCCATGGCCCCCGAAACGTTGACACAAAGGCTGGGACAAATCATCAGCATTTTTCCGCATTGACAAGCTTACAAGCTATGGTCATCCAAGAGTACAGCTCACTTGCAGCTGAATGAACCGCACGCGAACTCTAGCCACCCCGATAACTACCAAGCGCATGAGCACAAGATTTGCGAGAGATGTGGGGTCGTCCCCCTTGTCCTCTTCCACACCTGTACCTAGACTCTCCATGACCCTTTAAAGATGGGTCCATGATCCCATCATTTTGGGTAATGACCCCATTTTGTAAGGGTCATGGAGACTCCGGGTAGTCTTTCAAGCCAGTTCGCATCTTTGTCAAACCTGTGATCGGACTTCGGACTTCGACTGGCACCCTCTGCGGAAGAGGATCTCCACGGCATCCTTGTAAGGTTTCCTCGGTTTCGGCCAATTTTCCCGTAGGGAACGGGCAATCGCCAATGGGTTTCCGGAGGACCAAGCTGTTCTTTGCTTGCCGGTTTGCCTCGGACCTGCAAGCTGGCTTCGTAGGCTCCGGCTCCACTCAACATTCCTATAACATCAATTATCCTGGCATACTGTTCAGGTCGAATTTGGCTAAGATGCCATCGCAGCCAAGCAAAATAACTCCGCCAGCTGCGGAGGGTCATGCGTCACTGGCTGAGGCCGATGCTTCAAACCTTCGTGATGCATTCCGATTCCTCTCCTTGCGCGCATGGATCTAACTTTGTGTTGTTTGGTTTGCTCCAATGCTGGAGATTCAGTGTAATTACGTGGCTCACTGTCGTTCTGAAAACGAAAAAACGCATCGCAGTCACGATGAAGGGTTCCCCTGCAAAGCACATCTGCGTGTGTGCCACCCAAACATGCAGGCAACTAATTAAAAAAAAAAAAAAAAACACCTCCCACTTGGAAATCAGGGTTGGGAAGCAAATTTCGTGGTGTCGAAGCCGAGGTTCTTAGTCTTTCTAGCCGGCGGAAAACAAAGCCAAAGGGATGCCCGCATCAAACCGCGACACCCCTATGCGTGCGTGTTTTGTTGCGGGGCCCTTTTCAAAGTTTGGTTGGACACCAACAGGAAACCAACAATTCTGGGGGGGCATACACCAATTTGAACACATCCCCACATGTTATTGTCAGGATTGTTCCCCAGGAGACTCCAGTCCTGAGTCCCTCGATCATCCAGGCTTCAGCTCTTCCTTTCTTTCGGGCATCTTCGATCTGATCCTCGATATCCTGGTCTCGACTTTGCAGCGGGCAGGCATAAGGGTAACTTGTTGAGGTCGTCGAAAGGGGAAAACAAAGGAAGGTGGTGCTTCCCATATTGGAGATAACCCCATCTCGATTGGCCCGCGTTTTTCAATATAATTAGACTGATAAGCGCGGTTGCAAAGTCTGCCCAGGAATAACTTTTAGTGACTACGCTCCGCCGAAGCTTGCCTTTCTCGCCCCCTTTCCCCTCCTTCTGGGTTAAGAAAAATGCCCCGCTCCAAAATGAAATCAAGCATGTTCAGGGCTTGCTGAAAGCTTCCTGTCAGGAGCGCCCCCCCTCCATTTAGGAAATATCCGAAGCCACAGTCGGCAACCCTCTATCATGGAGAACACGGGTTCAAACCCCGTTTTTGTTTTTGTTGCCGGCTCATTAAGAAAATTGCTCGAGATCTCGAGTCACCGGGCGTTGGATACGGGGCTTGGAGCAGCAGACGCATCGATCGACTCCAGCCTCTTGCCACACTCCGAGGGCTTTCGCCGAGTGGAAGGAGAACTGGCGATGGATTTGTCAGGTCCGAATCCGCGGGCCCCCGGAACCCAAATCGAGTGTTCTCTAGTTCCCTGGGTTTATGACTTCCCAAGTGACCCCAAATACGTCGTTTGACCACACACAAACATAATGGGTTCCTCTTGCAATTGCCTAGGATCACTCAGTGCCATCTATGCTCAACCAAACTGAACTCAAGGGACATGTATGATTCTGCAGAAAACTCGGGCTCCTTATTTGAGGTTAGCGAACTCTTAGATTTGCCCATAGATCTGTCGATTGGTTCTCGGAGTTATCAAACTTGGAGTTCCTGCAGGGTTAATTTCCCTGGAACTTATGACTGGTGACTTGTTCAGTTTCTTCATGAGTTTGAGTTCGCAAGCCGCAAGCCTTCGTGATGTCATTTTGTCTTGATCTTCCTATCAGGCTGTCAACCATGGCTCTCTTTTGGGACCCTCAACCTTCCATCTTGTTTCTCTGAGTCCAAATCAGTCAAGGCTCACTCCTGTAAGAAACAAGTTGCCCACAGAGCCTGGTGGACAAGGGCCCCATTTTTGGGGCAAATACCTTTTCCAGGCAACCCATCAAACATTGGCTTCAGAGGATGCCAATGAGCGTGCAAACAAACGTCTTCTGACTTCCCTTTTGGGCCCTGCCCCAAACACAAACCAGGTTTGTTTCAAAATAGGGGACCCGCAAAATGGTGACTGCAATCTGGAAGACAGCTTTAGTACTGGTCGATCCAAAGCTTCATCTATTCGTGGGGGGCAGAGTCCAGCGTTTCGTGCAAAAAGGATGTTGTTGCAGCGATGATCGTCTGGGGACTACACATAAACCCGGTTGATCATTCTTGGTCGGGTACCCAACGAAACCCACCGATCAAACGAGTGCCACCAAACAATGGCGGCATGCTGTGGCTCTGGTCACTCACTACTCCACATCGATAAGCGTTCAGACCTCCAGTGGACATGGGCAAACAGGGGACCCTTTCTTAGGGCACTCTATGTGGAAGGGAAGCCCCTCAACAAAGCAAAGGCATCGCACCAAGCCTGTAAACATGTCTCCATTAAAGCGACATTACCCTCTCAACATGTTGAACCCGGTCTCTTTTGAGGGAACTGCAAGGACACCCACGAAGAAGGGCCCAACACATTTCGACACACCGTCTTGAGGAACAGCCACAGGCCACATTGTCATAATTTGTCACGAGGGCTAAAAGCTTGCTGCCAGAGGTTTCTTCTTTAAACGCTTCAGCAACCAGTTAGATGGTACCTCTGTTGCAGAAGGGGGTATTGAAACTCATAAGGCTTCCTGGCATGACCAAACTCGTCCGAATCCGCATGTTCTCCGAATAGCTCGCTCTACGTCTTACGGGCCTCAGGATCAATCTCATCCTGAATGTCCTGGCGGCGATATTGAAAGCTCTTTTCTTCGCATCGAGTAACCGCCAATGCACAATCCACTTCGCACCAGTTTGTGGACTATCCCAGTGTTCAAATTGGGCTTCATCCACCCCAACAAGTGCACGAGTTGTTCCATCCACAGTACAGTACCACCGCAGAAACCCGTAGGGGCCTACCAAAACCGATACCGAACGTATAAAACTGAGAAGGTGGCAGCTACAAGTCGGTATTGTCGCTCTTTACCCAGGGATCCCGTACCGGATTGTGGAGAACTCGTGGTTTTGAGGCTGAAAAGCGCATGTCCCAACCACATTGACCGCCTGAAGAAATTCGACCACTGCTCTTAGAAACCTGGAGGGCTGCCCCAATCCCTCACTAAGCGGCTTCACCTTTTTTGGGGGGGGGAAGGAAGGGGTGTCTTTGGAAAAGGGTCCATAATCATCTAACCCTCTGAAAACAAGCCAAATTCATGTTCCCCTGCTCCACTTTGTCCGTGGGACAAAAGACCATGCCGATGAACGGGACGCCTGAAGAGAACGGGAGTTGCCAGCCAGAATGCGACTTTATGGCAAAAAAGCTATTTTTGGTTGGCTTGCAGATTGAAGGCTGCAGATTCCAGCCATGAAATTGTACCTCGTTTTTTTCGCTTCAGGAAGCCACTATTCCTTGTCTCAGCTAGGTCAGCTTCGGTTCGGTTGGATCTTCTTCCGAATGAATTTGTTTCGGAAACATGTGAAGAAGGCGGTTTGAAAGTCCTCTGGTTGATCCGCTGATCCTCTGTGCTTCCCTCCCCTAAACCCCCCCTTGCAACGGCAATCGCACTCTGATGGTACGCGTGACATGGCTTGAACAAAAGGCCGGCATCGACCATGAGCTTTCATTCTAGCACACACATAAAGACTCAACCCGCTTGCTTGGCAACGTTCTTTTTTTGGGGGTACCGGCATGCCTGTTTAAGGCTTGAAAGCATGGCTAAAGGGAAACAGCCCTCCATGAGACAAGGTCGCATCGATCAATGGAGCCCTGCGACCCAAAGATTTGAACCAGTCCACAGTGTGGAGGACCATCCCTGAAAAAAATGAAGTTTCAGGACTGTTCTCCTTCTGCAAGAACTGCCGCCAAGTACTTGTCCTTCGTTCCACCCTTCTTAACATGAACATTGAACCTTAGCGTCTCTTTTGATCGGAACT